TTACATGGACGCTTCGCCACTGACTGATTAACGTATTCTTCCTGAAGACCGCCATATCCAGAGAACTATCCGAGATGAAATGAGATACCATAGCGTCATATATGAGAATTTGTGTCAGCCCATATTTCTACTCTCCGCACTAATTAGAAGTCTCATTTGAAAAGGCTAGTGTCCCATACAAGATGCTGTAGCTATATTAGTATATAGCATATATCTAGCGCCATCTAATATGAAGACGAGAAACATAGCTGTCGCAACTTATCATAGATGGCGTGACGGTATCTCATCAATGCTACAACCCCAAAAGCCTAGTCACAACATCATAGCAGATGTGTTTATGAAACATTATCAAGTAAAATAAGTTTTAATTGTTTGAAGCTTTCGCGGAGCAGATATCTGAACAAGTGGCAAAACTTGGCAGATAATCAGTCTTACCGAAAATATACGTTTTACAACTTATCCGACAAATTTTAACCATATATGCACTGTTACGAAAGAAGTTGATTTCTAAAAAAAAAATGTAATAATAGACCTACAGAAGTCGAAATAATAAAATAATACAGTATAACAGTTACTTATAAAAGGTTCCACAATATCCAAAATTTCGTCTTCGGCATTTAAGGCCCGTATCGTCAGTCGTCCCTACAATTGTAGGGCGTGTTTATGGCCTCCTTGATTGTCATACTCCTTTCTCTCCTTCAAAAATTTCTAGATTACACTTGTCCCGAGTCAGCGTCAGCGCTCTTCTATTGTAAAGATATGTTTTCTTTTTAAATTGTAGAAAATTTCAGGCTGATAAAACATGATATAACTCAAAAGCAAGCACAATATGATGCAAATAGATGTTTGTGACATAACCTCAAAATAGAGTTCTGACACGGAGAAGTAGAAAACTATGACAATCAAGGAGGCCATAAAGGCGCCCTACAAATGTAGGGACGACTGACGATACGGGCCTAAAACGAGTTGTGGGCGAACCCGACCCCCATCCACGTCACGTATGGGACTCAAATCTCCACTAGCACGTGCACGTAAATCATTTGAACTACATAATGTTTCGTGATGTGGTATGTGACTATTCAGAAATCGGTGTGCAAACAAACGAGAAGCCTCTCGCGAATTTTGCCTGCTTCTCCGAACGCTTAAACAATGTCCTCTAACTCCTCATTAGTGTAAGAAATATCTAAAAACATAAACAAATACTCTCTTATTTAACTTCACAAAAATCGACCGTTCTTCAATCAAATCATCCTTGATACAGATTAAACCTTATTTACATGTTCTTACCAGTATGAAAAAAACAAAAATTCCTGGCATTTTGTTTTCGTCAGTTGTGTGGTACAACATTTGCTACAATAAATTGTTAATGTGTGTTCTCATATCACGACGATGTACTCAAAATACAGATATTTATTTACTAATTTATTGTTGAAACTCAGGTTTATAACTCGATTTCTGTAGGAATTTTATTGCATTTTTTTTGAGAAATCATCTTCTTTCGTAACAGTGCATATGTGGTTAAAATTTGTCGGATAAGTTGTGAAAGACCATGTATATGCAAGATTTTTAGGAGATACCCATAGGAATTTAGTAGTGATCTACTGATTTAAGGTCGTTTGTAACTGATATGCTGTGATTTCAAAAAGCAAATAGTATTTTTAACAGATCTATGATATTCTCAGGAAAATATATAAGACTGCTTACTCACTCGTGGTGGTGGCCGGACTTGAATCCTGAACTCGTTACCTGTTTGCTATTGAAAATCATAGTTGTTCTTCGAATTGACAAAATTTATCAGCGAGCCAGAAATGAAAGTTTCGAGTAATGAGCAAAATAAGTGACAATCACAGCACAGTTTAGACGAACATATTATGGTTTCAAATTAAAAATATCGACAATGATCAACCTGTACCTTACGTTTTTTTTTACTATAATAGTAGGCTAAAATAGTGTAATAATGTAATATTAGCTCATAAATGAGTAAAAATCGTCATACGACGTTTACCTCTGACCTATATTTTTTTCTTAAAATGCATGCTGTTGAGTTTAAAGTGTTCATCTCTATACGTATTACATGGTAGTGCCGCGTAGCCTCGTATATCTTCATGCACATCGTAGGCCGTACAGTATACTTACAGATGCATCTATTCTGTTACTTTACCGGTACAGATCACCACCGGAGGAATTACGCAGACAACGTATAAGCATAATAATGTAGCGTTGATTAACCATCCTTTACACCGCAAACAGGCGGCATGTGAATATGCTCAGTTTGTTGAAACGCTGGCGTGTTCACGCAGGGGGCTTTGAGGATCAAGCCCCCTCAGAACCTCCCAGGGCCTAAAACGTAAGCCCCCCAAGGGTGGATCCAGAGTCGCCCTTGGACGAATCGAGAAGGACCACTTATATGTCTGAATCTGTTTGCTGGAATTCGTTAATCTTTTTAGGATCTTAGAAAAATACAATAAGGTAGTCAGAACTGGGATTTCAAAAATTATCAAACTTTTTTTTAGCTATGTATCTTTGTTTTTTCATAATGGATTTAGTATGGCAACTTCATGCAAAGCTAACAAACAGTGCAACAATGATTCATGTTATCTTGAATCGAGTAAAAATATTTTCGCTTTTGCTCATTATCATTACTTTTCAAGATATAACATAAACATGCTGCCTTGTTATAAATAATGTGATATTAACAGATTTCCACGAAAAATCCCAGCTAGAAGTTTCTGAGCATTGCATATTGGATTCAGTTTAAATGGCAGTAAGTTGCTTTTATTGGCACACTTGTCCAAGTCCAGCTGAATCCAACAATTGCAAATATAAAAAAAGGCGTCAAGTTGGTTGACTCTGCGCTTCTTACGCAACGCTTTTATCAGTTCATAAAGGGTTTTGTTCAGCTCAAAATGGACTCTCTAACAAAAAATTGAGATATACTCTTTCCACCCCCATACAACATCCACCCCCAAAATTTTTGCTTTGCTGAAAAGTTATTAGAAATTACCGCTGATAGACGAAAATAAACCCGCCAGTTGGTTTGTGTACAGATGCTTAGTGACCAATATACTTGACTTCCCTTTCATTGATTTATTCGTAGTTGAACGTTACCAGAGTTCGGAAATATTCTCGAATTGGAATTTGATTGACACGAATTTTCAAGTTCTATAACATTTTTCTGTCGTTAATCTCTGTACTCCATGTTTATTGTCATTATTCGGGCTATCACTCTGGTTCATTCATCTAAAATCAATCGAGATCACTGTTGACATGACTTTAAGTGCGGAGATTCGACAACCACCAATCAGCGTTCAAAAATGATTCTAATATTTTGCGAGAAATATTATTGTTGTTTGGAAGTATATATTTACAATTTCTCGGTGTTTCCTGACGATGAAAACATTATTCGGGATTGTGGAATGATGGCAAAATAATAAAAATAAATATTGAACCAATGTCGTTACATGAAATTTTTTGTATGTTTCAAAACTCTAGTATTGTTACTACTCAGGTTGGAATACATAGATAACAGTTTCGTCAATTCATACTGATTCTAACAATGAAATGTTTTGATTCCACAAATATAAACCCCAATATGATCCTAAAGATATCTGGTTCCATATCAAAATGCCAAAAAACTCTTGGAATAAACATAAGGTTTGTATTCAGATCCGGAAACATTTATTTATCGTGCATTAAAATTGTTGCGTTTTGATATAACGTTGCTAAAATTGATAGCTGCAGCTTATACACGAGCGTTCATTACTGACATTCAATCCTCTGAAACATTTCAACACTGAAAGGCAGATAATACTCTTGTTACAAACATGTCATTTGACAATATTTCCTCTCGAACCTTCATGTTAGTGTCTATTTCATGTTTTGGAAGAAAAATAGATCTTCCAGTCGTTGCTTGTGCAGTATTTGGCAGTGGAAACATTTTGCACTCCAGTTAGAGTTTGCCAAGAATCTTTTTGATTTAATTCTCTGATCATAAGTTATCTACAAAAGTTATATGGTGCAGCCACATTTCAAAACCTTGTTGTTCCGTATAGGTTGCATTGTTTGTCGCAAAAATTGCGTTGTATCCACATAATAATAATACCGGTGGAAACAGCTACCTTCATTATGACCTTGAATCTTGTTTGACCACTAATACCTATGACTTTCGGATCTCTTTGATAAATTTCATAATATACAGACCTTTTGCAAATATGTTACTGGTAAACAATCACCACAACTAGCAACTGTGACTAATTTGTAAGCGCATGATGACGTGAAAATAAGAGGGTTGTATAAATCTGGTTGCCTATACGTTCAGCTTGACGGAAATATAAATAAAATAGTGATACTACGGCCTTCGTCTTGGTAGGGGCAAGAATGCAATGGGTGATTATTGGGACTATTCTGAAACTATTGAATTGATCCTCTTGATTTACGAAACACCTTTTGATTTCGGTGAAACAGGCATCTGAAGGAGACGTCGTTGGAAATATGATTTTTCTTAAATAATTGGCGCCATAAAGATAATGCGTGTCATTCAATAGGGAAAACAAAAATCCGCCATTTTTTTGCTCTTTTGAAACTTTGCAATTTTGAGTTACGCTGTGTTAGAACTTAGGCGACGATATTGTCCCCCCGCTCTTCAGTTTTAATCACATACCATGTCTTGAAATCGTCTATCACCACAATTATCTGCATAAACTTGCATTTTTTTAAAATAACGCTAAAAATAGTCAAGTGCATTTTGATTTGAGAGACAAACACATCCTTGACTTGTTTCGTTCTATCTAGTCTGACCAGTATAAAAGTGATCATGAAAAGTAGCGCACTAACCTAATTGCTATCTATTCTTCGTGACCGAAATACTATGCCTTTGTTTCATCATTTTCTTCACCAAAAATTAGCATTCATTCTGTGAGGATTCCCTTTTCCCACAGGAAAGAACGCATGTGTATGGGGTGCAGTGGTCTCGACATTTTTTAAACCTTCAACCAGGCCACACTAATCCTGAATATTCTTTGTTCCAGAATACATGGTGAGTTCCGGATCGCCCCCCACCCGCGACAAGCGCGACTCAATGTCGACAAATGGCATGCAGACGGGGGGCATGCTGGGTTCAGAGGACAAAATTGGTGCGCGCGCGCGCAGAGACTGGCGGCACGAGCGCTTGCGCGACATCGCGGCTGCGCTGACCACAGGGGCGGGAACCAAGGATAACGGTGGAGTGGGAAAGCAGGATGGTGGGAGCAGGGACCTACAGGAACAGAGATTGCCTGCGTTGCCGGCCGAACAGCTGCTACTACACCTAAAGAAGGTGAGCAGCTCAAATAGCTTTATTACGGTTGTAAGAACTATATGCAATACTCGGTATAGTATCTCTAATCATAAATTTATACCCACAAAAAACCAGGGCCATCGAAAAAAAGTGAAATAATACACCGAGTGTTTCAAATTTGACCCTCACCATTGGGATCTCGGAAACGGTAAGAGATACGAGGTCGCTTAATTCAAAGTAGTTCCGAAGAGAGACGGAGAAAACCGATTTTTTTTAAATCGTTTTAATTTTTCCCTAATTTTATTTGTAGTAGGATTTCAAAATAAATGAACTTTGCCACTTTTTCTCCTCTACAAGATTTCATAATTGGCATTTCAATATGACGTTTCGTGTCGTGTCTACCAGCATCGCCTTTATTTTTCTAAGGAGGCCATATTGAATTTTTGCATAGATAAATAGACATATTTTGACATTGTCAAACTTTCATTATTTAAACAAAACAATTTCATGGGAAGGCCTTGAAATTATCAGATAGTCATTTGTTTCATATACCAAATTTATAGCAAAATCATTCTTATGTGCTCCTGACTTTGAGATGAAATTTCAAAATAGGTTGCATGTTGTTATTGCCACTCTTCTCCTCTACAAAAAGGCGTCAAATTTTTAATTCGAGGTTTCTTATTTCGACTTCCATCGCCAACTTTGTTTCCCCATGTGGACACTAAATTGGACCTTACATTCAAATGGATTTTTTAGTCCTTAATTCGCGATTTACTTTCTTTGCTGGCCATAAATTTGTACCTGGAACGAAAATCATAGGAAAATAAAAAAAAGTTTAGTGAAACCTGAACACAACATGAAAATTTTATTGATGGTGATAGCAATTAATCATGAATAAGCAGAGGTAAATCATAGCAAATGTATAAATTGATCACATCTTTTTTCGTTCGAACAACAAATTTATGGCCAACTAAGTAAATACATCGCTGAATTAAGGACTGAAAAGTCAATTTAAATGTACAAAATGTAGCGTCCATATGAAAAAACAAAGTTGGTGATGAAAGTCGAAAATTTGACTACGCCATCTTGTAGAGGAGAAAAATTGGCAATAACAGCATACAATTTGTTTTGAAATCCCGTCTCAAATAATGTCAAGAAGAAATAAAAATGAGTTGGCGGTAAATTTGCATTTGAAACAATTGACTACTTATATGATAATTCCAAGACCTACCTAGGAAATTTAGTTTCTTTAATAATGTGTATCCTACTGTTTTAGAATCAGAATTAAAAAATCTATTCGCCTGTGCAAAAATCCTTGTCCTTAAGAAAAAATAAAGTTGGTGTTGGAGTCCCAATTTTAATATGCAATTTATTATAAAATCTCACTTCAAATAAACACGGTTTTGGAAAAATTCGATTTCTTCCGCCTGTCTTCGGAAATACTTTGAAAATCGAAACTTTCTATGCGGCATTTCGTTAGACCTAAATACGCAACTTTGCCTCCATATAAACGACTCCGTATCTCTTAGCGTTTCCGAGATCCCAATGATAAGGGTCGGATTTGATACACTCGGTATAGATATATGGTATGTAGATTTTGTATAGAAACCCTACAGTGGTCCAACTATTAGAAGCGACCATGACTCTGGCAATCTCATGCAACAATGAAAACAGGTATTTTGATGGTCAGCAACGTGGACAGGCTCTTTATGTCAGACGTCTGCACACTTGTCAGCCATGCGCTAACGATGAACTCAGGAAAATCGTATTTTGGAAACTATTTGGTCAGAGAAATCTGGAGGTTATCGGTAACAACTGAAATACTGAAATATTAAACATTTTGTATTTGATGCCTAGAAATGAAGAATTCCCTTCCACGTTGGGCAAACGGTTTTTATGCGGTTTCAGTAAGGAATAGGAATACTATAATAGAACTATGAAAGTCTTGAATTGACCATATCCTAACTACACAATATTTACAGTGCTTTTCAGAGAAACCTCCCCCACCCCCAGACTTATTTTTTGATCAGATCAAGTTAGCAAACTCATATTTGAGTTGATAACATTAATGCTTTAACGTAAAAATAACTGTTGAACGTTCCAAGATGACGGCTTCTGAAACTATTTTTGTTTTAAGGGCAAATGTACGAGGAAATCTATGTTGTGTGAAATATCTCTAATAGATACGTATATTACGGCGGTTAGGTTTTTCAAAAATGGTTAGGATCTTCTGAAACCTCAAGAAAGTTCGAGCAATTTTCAATTTTTGTCGTTTTTGGTTTCTTTTCCTTCGTCTCTGCACCGATTTTCAAAAACTATAAAGCTTTTAAGTCCTGGCATAGTAGTAAACTTGTGTAGAAATTTCATCAAAATCCGATTAGTACTTCCCAAGTTATGGATGGGACAAGGATTAGCGGACCGACCGAGCGTCAGACACAGACCGACAAACAGACCGATGAAAACGAATGACATGGCTTTTCGTGACGTACATGTCATAAAACGTCCAAACTATAATCTTTGTACAAACAACATAATATCTCATTTTTGTTTTTTTTGCGATTACAATACTTCCTCGCCACACATTCCAGAGTGAAACAAAAAAAAGGGGAAATTTATAAATTATTTGATCTGAGTATACCTCAGCTGGTAATTGAACAGACTGCTCACTCGATAGTGTTTTATCTTATTAGGTGACGTTGTAACAAATGACCACGCAGTACAAAAGTAAGTTCAGGTTCTTGTAATGCGAGACGCTATCCTGTATACCAAAGTTGTCGGGTATAGGAGACATAATATGTAGCATTGTGTAGAAAGGACTAAGGCAAACATGTAGCAAGGTACTAAATGAGATATAGTTACGGATAAACCGATCGATATAGCCCCAAGTGTCTCTTGGAATACTGTCCTTGAATCATATCAATACAGATAGTGTTCTAATTCAAGTCATGTAGGTACTAACCTTTTTCTGCGCCTCTTACTACTTGCACAGTATACAACAAGCTTTAATATATCTCCACTGTTTTAAAGTTTACTGGAAGATAATTATAAGACACAATATACGTAAAAATTAATTTGTCCAGTAATAAAATTCGTCTGTAATGGTTTATCGCATATCTGGAGATGAAGTTTATAATGGCAATATAATTGTTATACCTACATAAAAGTAGAAATGTCCAAGGAAAGAACATAATTAGGTGGTTAGCTTCAGAGAATGACTGTGGTGGTAGAGGTAATCCATAAGAATTTATTTGTTGTTAAAGTTATGTTGAATTTTATCAGATGAAACATTTTTTAGACGCGAAAGCAAAATTCCAGGTTACCCTGATTTTACGTGTTATGTAAAACAGTGTTGCTTTCCGCGCATTTTTTTTATAATGTGTACTGTAAATATAAGAAAGAGCATTAGTGGAAACTGATGTATATGTTTCTCCGTAAAGTAGAAAATGCTTTATTTTCATGTCGTCATCTTGAGTGCTATTCGATAATTTGGAGCTTGATATAACCAATATATTTTTAGATTATTTATTCCTTGGTTTGACCTATCACCTAGAAAATTTGTGGCAACGACTTCACATAATAACGTATTTTCGTTAAATGCATTGCAAGTATTTTTCATAGTAGTTTCAATAAAGCAGTACTTTCATATTGTTCTAAAGAAATGGTGAATGCGTATAATATATTCTAAACAATACAAATATTACAGCATAGATATTAAAACAGTTGCAGCTAGTTCCATACTTCAGCCATTTAAGAATAATGAAATGATGAATTCACTTTTACACAAATGTTGGGACATTTAAAGAAACTGACTACCTTCTTAAACGTTCTACAAACGTATTTTCAATATTTTTTTATTTTCCGAATTCTATAAAATACAAACCTACAGATTAAGTTCTTAATCAGCCGGATCAATCAATCAACGTATATATGGTATTTTTTATTTACCAAAATCTTCCAGTACTTGACATTGAACTATCTGCGGAAAGAAACACGTTTCTTAAGTCTAACGATCACTCATACACGATTAACTTGCCTGTCACACTTTTTGTATCAACTGTAGCTCTCCTGGAAGGTTTTCAACACTCTTGCTCTAACTAAATATTTTCAACACAAATAGAGAAGAACAATTTTCATCGGTTTACCACAATTTTTTTTAGAATAGGATCGGAACGTTAGCTGAAGTGTTACATTAAGATCCACAAGTCGAAATCGGGTTGAAGTCAAGATCCTCGTAGTTTGTCTATACCATCTGTATTTACTGATCATTCCGTCAGTGCCAGTGGATTTCTCTATAAATGTCACATCCTTAAGAATACTGACGGTTCACACTAAATACCGATCGTTTAACATTCGTTCAAAGATTAGTACATTGGTCCATCTTTGTAGCCGCTCTGAACACTTTTTAGTCCATTATCTTTTAGTTTTTCATCAGGGAGTTGCCTGTTTTCTTGGTCCATTTTTGTTATTAATTCGTAAGCCTCTTTGGAAAAATTAACATTCACATTGTTATTAAATATGGTTTTATTCCAGGGTTGGCTCTGGCTGAAATCCTCGGAAGAAGGCGTTGACTGGACGCGTCGTTGGGTGGTGCTATGCGGTCCAGCCTTGCAAGTATACGGCGATCAAGACGAGCGATCTCCGCCTGAGCTGCGCATCGAACTATCTTCCGTCGTTAGCTACGCCGAAACAGTAACGGACTCCAAGTATGGCTTCGAGATCAGACGCGCTGGGGGACCGCCTCTCACGCTCGCGGCCGTGACACAGGGCATTCGCTCCAATTGGCTGCTGGCGCTGAAGAAGGCGGCACCAATGGCGATAATGGGCGGAGTCACGAACGGTACTACTCCGCCTCCGCCGCCCGTTGAAAGTCCCGTGTCACCGTCGACGCCCCGATCAATCATGGCCAGTAGCGATGAGGAGTACAAAACAGCATCTGAGGGTGGTAAGTTACTTTTGTGAATCAATTTTTAGGATAAATTTGCATAACGATTTTTTTAGTTATTCCTGTATTTTTGCAAATGTACTATACCTAACGTACTGCGTTTCCTCAGAATGGTAGTTATTTTTTTGTACGGTATATACGCAGTTGTAAAAAAAAGAAATATAGGGATAATGATAAATTTTAATCAAAATAACTGCCACCGTGATCGAAAATGCATGCAAAATAAATATTGAGTGTCTTATAGATGCATAACAAACACAAAAATGTCACTAGTTCCTATAAAAAAAATGTCTTCATGTCCTAAAAAAAGTCAGGAGCCGTTAAATCAGGTGACTTTGGTGGCCAGTTGACATCACCAAATTGAGAAATTAAACGTCCCGGAAATACTGTTCGTAAAAGATTCATTGTTTCCCTAGCTGTGTGACAAGTTGCTCCATCCTGCCGGAGCCACATGTATTGCAGGTTAAATTGTTGGATTTGGAGAGCCAGAAAGCTTTGCACCATATCACGATAGCCCTCGCCATAGTTTTCAAAGAAGTAAGGTCCAATGACACCTCCACACCGAATGCCGCACAAAACTGTGACGTGACGAGGATGTAGTGATCGTTAATGGATGACACGAGAGTTCTATAATGCCTAGATATGACAATTCTGCTTATTAACAAATCCGTTCATATCGAAGTGGGCTTCATCGCTCATTATCAGTAATCGGTAAAAATCGTTATTTTGGGTATTAAGATGCAATATTGCATGACTGGATTTTCGAGGAGCTTCATGGTCACTAGGCTGTTCTTGGGTTAACTGAATTTTCTGTCGCCGCAAATAATAACATAGTGCATAATGACGTGCGACGAATACCCAGTTCTTGAGAACGATGTCTGGTTGACATCTCAGGGCGCTCCACTACACTTTCACGAACTCTCTCGATATTTTCCAGAGTACGAACACTTCTAACACGGTCTTTAACTTCACCTGTTTGTTCAAATTTCCGCACCGACTGACGAATGGTGTTGACACTGGGCACATTATTAGGCGCTAAATCTTATCGTAGCTCCCGAATCGTTGCAACAATCGACTCATTATTTAAGTAAAACGTTGTAACAATACGGACGCATTGTGGGATCGTGTAGCGCTCCATAATGAATTGGGCACAACTACTACAGCGCCACCTACTGAAATGCGTGTATCAAAAATGGCGCGCAATTTAAATCAGTTATATATTGGCCACCCTGTACATTATCGGGATCTAAATCCGCAAATCCAGATTTAGTGTTTCAAATTTGATTGTAAATAAATAAATTGTGTAGGTCGTCGAGGCAGTGAAGAATGGCCGTCAACGCCCTGCTCGACGGACTTGCCGCCCTCGCCGCCACCCTCTCATCGTGGTCCTAACTCTCTAGGGCGGCTGAAGGAAAGGGCACGTGTTAGGCCGAGGTTGCCACGGAGCGGTGCGCCAGGTTAGTACATGCATTAATCTATTTCTATTGCAACTAAAAATGGTTAGCGAAATGCTCTTTTGAGACTAACAAGAACTGTGAATATACGTGTCACCTACATGTTTTATAGCTCGATGGTAGGTATCAGACCACTCATAGTTTAAAAACAACATTAGAGGACGAAGGGACTACTGTGTTCAAAATGTCTCAGGTGTCACATCAAAGCAAGATAATGGTAACCGTAATAAGAACGGTTTTGATTTTATTTTTACCTCCAACGACACCGAATAATGGCGAAATTTTAGAAGATTCATGTCCATAGGTACGTAGGACCTATTTTCTGTCTTAGTGTAGCTGTTCACTCATCATTCATCATCTATTCACCAGAACGACACTTAATTAACATGTGATTATAGCTTTCTTTCGTCCGGCCACAGACGGCCAACCATGGACAGCTGTTTCGTGTTTTTTTTTTAAACTCCACAGCATGGTCTAGGCTTGGCCTCAGTTAGAACAACGAACGAAAGCTGAGCAACCATCGTCTGTCCAAAGTATAGGGTATTTCGAAATAAGATAGCACAAAGTGCCATCTATTACCAGAATCGACCACTGCGAGAGTGAAAGCAGCAAGTTGTCAGTTGGAACTGTATCCCATTTCGCATTGCCAACCGGCAGGGTTATTACGTAAAAAACCTATTATACAAAAAACCGAAAAAATATAACTTTACACGTTTCATAAATATTCCTGTCTGTGGCATATTTTCTTACGTGTTAGATGTAATATACACGTCAGCAACTATGGATTGTCTTTTCTTATCCCTTTCATCCACAGAACGAAGTGAACAACAACAAGTTGACATCTTGTGGAAAAACCTACATAATGTCTCAAAACCTATATATATATATATATATATATATATATATAATTCATCAGGTAACTTTTTGTGGAAGTGTACTTGCCACCAAAACATTTTGGAGAACGGGTTTAGCAAATTTTCTCAACGAGAAAGGGGCAAATTCTGAAAATCCCCAAAACTGTGCACAAAACCATGCTGAACATGCAAGTCTTAATTGTATGCGCGTGTTTAACTGACTTGATCCATTTAATTTTTTTGTTATAATTTGTGCCGAACATAATCCTCTATGGACTGATGCCTGCGTGCAGAGCTAACCTACTTATCGCCAATTTATTTGCACTGTAATACTTTTTTCGAAACTCTTGATTTGAAACTTTTTCACTGCCACACAGGTAGTCGTCACTCTACTGCCGACAGCACGTCGACCGACGAGTTGGACTGCGTGGTGAAGCCGCAACCGCCGCAGCAAGATGTGCACCAGCTCAGGGAGAAGCTTGCCGGGGCTGAGAAGGAAATACAAGCATTGGAAGAAGAGATTGCCAGGTAAGATGGTCATTAAAATTCGTGATACTATATAATTATAACGGTTATTAATTTGTTAACAGGCGATTTTTAGTTTTGTTAAAATTGTTAATAGTAGGTATTGTTTTTTAGATACTAATTGTTTATTAGTTATCTTTGTTGTTAATGAGTGTCATGTTATTTCATTAAACCTGTATAGGTAAGATTCTTTAAAACAGAATAGTCTTCTTAACATTTACATCCTGTGGTTGTCACTGATTGGTAACTAAAGACGATATTTTTGCCAGCTTTAAAAAAAACGATTTTTATATGTGGCAGAGTTCTAAATATTGATAAAAAGGCTATCAAATTTGTTTGGAAATAATCCGGGATAGAAATTATAATAATAATTTTTTCACATCAATTGCAAATTGTGAAAAAAATGATATGCCACAAAAGGGAAATATCCTTGTTTGTGGATTTCATGCTAACAATTTCAAGAATAATTATTATTTTAAGATAAATCGGTGGCGTATCATGAACGTCTGCCAAAAGAAGCACGTGAAATTCCGTACGAATGCCCCTGGTGGGAATTGAAAGATGTAGCACATTAAAAATGCCTCATAATACATGTATGAAAAAATTTCAGTAAAATATGTAAGGTGATATTTCAGGTATCAATAATAAATTACTGATTGTTTTTACCACCATGAATCTAAAAAGTTAAGACGATTAGGGAATACGTTGAGATGAAGTTTTCTTCTTAAAATGGTTCCAAAAATCGCGTCATTTAATATTGACACTCAGTTAGGAAACACCCTGTATATAAAAGCAAAAAAATCCATTTGTCACGAAATCTAAAAAACTGACCCATGAAATTCTGAAGGGAAGTATTTTTTGGGCAGGACATGTCAGCTGAGAATGGATGTTGTAGCAGGGCTAGATTAATGGGGCTAAAGGCAGATATATATAAAAGTGAAAAGATACTGGCTGATCACGAAATTTCGGAAACTATTTTGTTAATGGGGGTTAAAAGGTACCCGTGAGTTTGTTTGAGATTCTTTGGAATTATCTGCTAGATACCTAAAATTGGCAATAATGCGGTTCTTTAGACTTAAACTAAGAATGGATTATGTGACATGGGCGAGGGGTTCAAAAGTTGTCACGGGTTTTATAAATATTTACCTCTTATAATAGAGACTAAGTTTTTCACAATGGTTTGAGCTAGCATTTTAAAATTTTTGTTATTTAAACAATTGTAAGCGTGCGAAGTTGCGGGTAACAGCTACTCCTGGTATTTGATAACGTACAGCCAAGTTTCTAACTTCTCCATTACCTTATTAATAATATCCTGCAGGATTTCTCAGCATTTTTATTATAGTGATGACAATACATATGATGAAAAAAATAGTGGCAATACTTATAGGCCAAAAATAACTCGGATATTTTCTACAAACATTGGTTGCAAATGCTCTCTTACGAGACACAAAATATTAAATGTTTTAAAAATCCAGAAAAAATGTAAAATGTTTAGAACCTGTTGTAGGTAAATGCACTGGACTGTCATGACTTTTTTGCATTGTGATTGCATTTCCTATGTATTGTCAAGAATATGACTGAAAAAGCAAACTGTATTTAAAACTAAAACATAATTACTCAAAATTAACTAGATATTTCAATTTAGGTTGAAGAAATTTCAATCTGATGCAGCGATTCGAGAGAAGAAGGCAAAGGAGATGCTGTCGAACTTAGAAAAAACCGAAAAGGAATTAAACCAAAGAAATTCACAAATCGAACTAAACTTTTTGAAAGAACAAAGGGCGCTACAAAGACGTCTTTCGGAAGCGGAAGAGGCGGCGAGGACTAACGAAGAGAAATGCACGATACTCACCAGGGAGTTGCAGACCAAACAACGAATCCTGGTGAACTTGCAGGAGGAGTTGTCCATGTCCAACGAACGCTTGTCCCGAGTCACCGAAGAGAACAATAGGCTGTATAAAAAAGTACAAGAACTCGAAGGAAGATATTGCTTTAAGAACCAACACTTCAAAGCAGACTCCATCACGGAGTTAACCAATATTAATTTAGATTTAGGTAAGGAAATATATGATTATGTTTGTGCTGTATCAATATAAGCATGACCACCAAAATGACCCAAATGTTGCAATATTTTATGTGGACTTCTCACAATTTAATGGAAAATACTGATTGTGAGTTTTTGTGAAAAAACACACGTATTCAAAGAAATAGTTATTTTTAGAAATGACAACTACTTAATTAAACAATGGTCGACAGTTATTAAAAAAAAGTATCTTCTGATACAACCCATGACAATTTTCTTCTTCTAGTGCCTTGTCTAGTTTTTCGAAAAATTTCCAAATGTTTTTCGAGATATTTAAAGTTACTACATTCTTCTTCACTTTTTGGTATGTTAAAATATTTCTACAAGGCGAGAAACATACTTGTTCCATGATCTCACCTAAAAAAGTTCAACTTGGTTATAACTTGTGCATGTAACTGTTGAAACGCATAAAAAACTGTTGATGTGCAGATACGTTTAACTGAGATTTGCTATCAAAACCTCACTGCAAGAATATCTGTATTCTATTAGATTTCAAAGCTTAACTTATTAAGTCGTTCGAATAACCCTAATAACATAGTGAGATACAATCAAAAATTTGGTCATACGAAAGGATGGATGGACTTAAATGAGACAATATTTTGTGTAATTTTAAAACTATTCATAAACCGTTATTTTCTTTTCTTCACTATACTAAAAGAACCATAAACAATTTTCACTGGAAACTGGCATTGTATTTTCTATCGCGGCCAACGTTAATTTATGTAAAACAATAAATACTCTTTGAAAGATATTACGATAAGTGGCAACATTTTCGAAGCATAAGTACTGTAACATCCGGTACAATGCGGCAAAACTTGAACACTGATTGCTGATATAACTTGGATTACTCGGCTTATGAGCATGCTGTTCTTTTTGATAAAGGTCCTAGAAAAAATCATCTATATTCAACTGGTCTAGAATTTCGAACAGAACAATATGATTTGTCAGTATCAGTCAGGTTTCCGGACGGCAGAGGTATTATGTAAAATATCGATGTAATTCATTGAAAATCGGTGTGATATCAAATTGTGTACCAGCTTGTCGTTAGTCCACGCCACACGCACTCGCTGTGAATGATATCTTTAAAGGAATGACACCACGACATATACTATAGGATTTACAGCTTAAGCCATAGAAGCTATAAATAGCCTCCGCTAGTACGATCTTTAAAGCAGATGTGACATCACATCAGATCCCAACCATGTAGCTCGTGTTGTGACGTTTATACAATAGGCACAGCTACTACAAGTGAAGATGAAATGAATGACAGCTAGCAAAAAGGTGACCAGTTTTTTAAACCTACATAATGACATGTAAATCGATATAATGTTACTTTCCAAGTTACGTAATACGGGTCATCATATTAAACATTACGGACAATATACTAATGTGGATGATCATTTAGCATTAACTCTGATTCTACTAGACTTCTCCAATGCCTTCAACATGGTATGCCATGGTATTTTCTTAAGTAAGTAGTTATTCAGTGGTCTTCCTGGCGAGCTACTGCGTTTCTTCGAATAGTTTTTGAACAGTCTTACCCAGAATTTGTAAACATGTATCTACTGTGTTTCTTTCGGAGAGAATGTTCTAGCCGGTGTCCCTCCAGACTCCCTATTGGGATAATTACTCTTCTTAGTGTATACTTTTGAATTACAGGGTGTCCAATAAGTACCACGACAAACTTAAGGAGAAGGTAGGCTCAGGACTGACCTCCCAAAAAACAAAAACTTACCTATATAAAAGTGTCACCGTTTTTGAGATATTAAATTTTTTCTTAAATTTTAAAAAACGAACCTTTTTATCTCTCTGGTCTTTAGCTGCATGTACAAATAAGGTTATGCTTTGTTCATTTTTTCTATAAAATACTGAGAGATAATTGCTTTCTCATATACAAATGCAATATAGTTAAAATATATTAAGGGACCGTGATAAAATAATGACGGTTTTGGGATTAAAACCTTCTGATATTGTTTCCTGAACTTTGACCATTTGTGGTGAAACAAAAATGTACTGGGCTATAACTGCATTTATTGAATACATATTTCAGAATGGTGCCACACGTACTATTTGGAATAGAAAAAAGTGATATTTGTTTCTGACACACACTACAATGTGGATTTAAATTTAAGTTACCGACCAATGACATTATTTTATACTCCAATTACCACGAAGGCATAAGGCCTAAACACCCATTGGGTACCGTGGGGCTATGGGTACATGCTAAATAATACAACTATATTATTAACTGTTTATTAATTGTCAATAAATGAATAATTTTTTTCCACAAACAATTTGTGCTTTATTTCACGCTAACCCGTCCTTTACAAAAATATTTTTTTTTGTATTGTTACTGACTCGAGTCGAATTTCAGTAAGTTTCATAAAATCATATCAGGAGCAGGTAATAATAATGTAGCTTTGAACTATTTAGCATGTCACTGGTCGGTAATGATTATGTGTCTGCCTACGTGGCTGCATAGGTGTAAAGAAAACGGAAGAACCACGATTTTGTTTGAATCTCCACCTTCGCTTCAATCTTCCAGCTAAGCTTATGCTGGACTCTGTTTTGATGGTAGTAATTCCTTTTCCAAGATGTGAGACAGAACACATAACTTTTCTCTTCTTCCAAGTTACTATGAGCTGGTGACAATTCAGTCAGCTCCCCTGGCTACACTCATATCTCAATTAGCACGTGTAATATTGATCATGCATATTGCCAAATTATCCTTTTCTGTACGTCACTATACTCAATACGATAATGTAACACAAACGAATTTTAATACATATCCAATGATGCTAGCTATAAGTATGGGGGAGGGGGTCTTGGTGGGATGTCCACTACGAGGGATCATTGGAAACTCTAACACATCTTTCGTACTCTTACCCCAATGTTATAATGTCATTATGCCTTTGCAGATATCGACGAACTGAACGCGAACGAGCTGAAAGAGTACTGCCTGGACCTGAAGCACCGTTTCGAGCGCGCCATAGTAGAGATCCAGGCAGTGAAGCGTGCGTTGCGCGAGTCGGAAGAGAGCTGTGATAAGATGGAGATCGCCAACTATGGCCTCCAGCACCACATCGGCACGTTGAACGAAGAGCACTACGCCGAGTTGCGGTTGCTGGTGCAGCGGTTGGACAACCTGACTGCCAAGCTGGCAGCCGCGGAGAGACAGCTCAGAACCAAAGGCAAAGGCGATGCCAAAGATAAGAGGCGATCGCTGTCGTTGCGCGGCAGGGAAAGCTTCTCCATCAACAAGGAGGTGGAGGATAAGGTGAGAGGATAGTAGCTTTTCATTTACCCTGCTAATGATAATTGATCGTGACTTTTGTAACTTCGACACGTGAATTGAATCTTTTGGTGCAAACTATATTGTTTATAGTTTGGAGATAACTGGCCTCAAAGTTTAAATCCTGACATTTTTTATTGAATAGTCTTAGGGCTGCTTTTGTTATTAAAGGTTATTTTAGACACATATGAAAGTATCTCGAATAGACAGTTTTGTTAAAAATATTGTTTTTATTATCAGAAATTTTAAAAAGATTGTTGAAACTCTGACTTAACACTTTTTATTTGCTTGGTCCAGAAAACGAAAGTAGCATGAAGGTGTTAATTCAATGATATTAAAAGTAAACATTGTTCTTTTTTCTTATTACAAACTCACAAATGTAATAACAAATAATCCACACACTGTAACTAATCGTCTCCTCTTAAATTTTTATAAAAGCTTCTAAAATTTGCTTGTATTAAACTCTTTGGCCACAATTGGTCAGCTTTTATCGACATTCAATAATAATGGTTCATTTTCTACTCTTTTATCGAGATTTTGCTGTTTTCTTATATCAATAATAGTCCAATTTTCCGTTTCATTAAAAGAGTATCTGTTCTTGCTTACACTAAATTTTTCAATCTGGATCCATCTTACATCTCTGAATGAAAATTTCTCATTAGTTGTAGTTTTTTTTCTATCGACCAGTCCCAAGTTTTCTTGGAAGTTCTTTGATATCAACAAATTTCTCCGCCATTCTTGTTATATTAAAAGATGTTTTTTCTGGATTCTGCCATGATTGAAATATATTGATCCACCGTATAAATTAGTTGGTGCTTTCTGATAGACTTGTCTACAGCTGCAAAATCTTTTTCCGAGACCATGAAGGTAGGTCCTACTTTAGGGAACTTATGGTCAATTTTTTTGAACACTTCAGAGATTATTAGGTAGTGCCATAGATAGACAATATAAAAAAATGTTTTAGCAACCTGGTTGCTGTGCTATCAAATGTATTTCTAGATTGTAGAGCCATACTTGTCGTAAATAGAAGGCTTTACTTGTAGAAGTTCTCGGTAAGGGAAGCGTTTGTTATAAATCATATGTGATATCATTTTTTCGTTTGTTTCTGCTATTCCTCGATCATATTCTTGTACGTCAAAAGATTTTGCAACATGTTCCTCCTTCGATCCTGCATCGCAAACATTTTTACATTTTAAACGAAAACTGAATTAACCCTTGAGTTAACACCTTTTTACCTATAATGCAAGAGTTAACACCTTTTAAAGTTTAGAGATTGAAGTTTTTGATACAGTTAACACTTTTATAAATCTCTGTATCTAAGAACTGAGAACCATCTTTGGCCGGATAGATGTACTACCAAAAAACGCACCCTTTTAATACCTTTTTGCACCAAATTCTTCAATTGTTCACTTCCGCGCACAGTCATTGTCACTTTACAATACTCGCATAGAGCGCTGGTATCGTGCCTTTTTGAGAGTTACACCTGCGATCTGTCAGAAGCGATGATAAGTTAAATGACAAAATAGAAGTATCAACCTAATGGAATTGATCAGATATACACCATTGTCTTTCTAAGTTTATTGGCGAAGCATCGACAATCCATCATATTCAGATTTGACTGCCATATTGAAGATTAGTTGTATTTTGCGATATTAGCGCTTCAGCGGCTATTGTACACTGCCAATAGCCCAAACCTTTGGTGGTTTTGCCTTGCAAAATGTACCGTTGTCTGATTTTTGTTCTAATCTAAATGAGAACTACCAACTGAAAAAAGATGCTATTTGCTGCACGATAACAAGGTCTTATAGTTTTTTTCATATACTTAACCAAAATGAGGTAAATGGCTGGTCAGTAAAAATTATAATGGGGTATTCTCTATCTTGACAAAAACCCACGCTGAAATATTTCCCGACAATAGGATATCATTCATTCATCATTTATTGGTATCTGCACTTCTCCCGCAATCAACCAATTCAATTGAGGTGTCCTAAGTAGTTTGGATTTAAAGGAACATTATAGACACTGATTTTTACATAACTATATGAAATACACTCAAATGAGGCGGACACTCTGGAATACCATCACCACTACATGCAAGGCGCGGAATGTTACTTCCGAAGGCGGGATTCGAACCCACGACCCATCTAGGCGATATCAGTAGCTTGACCCCCTGACATACCAGGATACCCAGGATCACAAACCAGTATGATTTTATTTTCGTTCCACATACGAGGGATGTCTTTTAAGTTTTGCATGTAGAAACATAGTAGGCCGCGCGGATCGAACGTCAGTACTGAATCTTAACCTCACTCTTTAGTAAACTTAAATTCAAAGTTTCACAAAAATACGTGCAGTGTTCTCACTACAGTGAATTTTTAAGTGTTACCAAAATGTAACTTTCAGAGACAATTATCGCAACAAGAATGCCTTGCTGAGTTACTGTCTATTTTCGGCAACGAAGCGCCACATCACTCGACAATTTCCCGTTAGTATGGAGAATTCAAACGTGGACGGGTGAGTCTTAGCGACGATTCCAGGGTGGGTGTACCAAAAACGGCAGTCACCCAGGAAAACGTCGATACCCATCATTGAAGATAGACATGTGACATATCGCGAGATTGAGGCGTCCTTGAAGATCCCAAAGACCTCAATTCCAAAAATTTTACATGAAGAATTAGGAGTAAGAAAATTAGTTTCTCGTTAGATACCCCACCTGCTGACTGAGCAGAAAGCAGCCAGGGTGAATTGAAACGGTCAAAAAACGCTTGACCGTTTCAATTCGGGAAACTCAAAAAATGTGTACAGCATTGTTAGTGGTATCGTGGATTTACTGTTATGAACCAGAAAATAAACGACAGTCGGCTGTTTGGGTGTTCCAAGGTGAAGAAAAGCCTACAAATGTCATCCGTTCTCGAAGTGTTTCGAAAAAGATGGTCGCGACATTTGTGTCAAAAGCGGGTCATATTGCAACAGTTCCTCTTAATGAGCAAAGAACAGTTACTACGGATTGGTATACCACCATTTGTTTGCCAAAAGTCATCAACCGAGCTTCGAAAAATCAACCCCGAAAGAAGAATCATCCTCCACCAAGACAATGTAAGCTCGCACACAGCCCAAAAAACAAGGCGGTATTTAACGGAAGAAAACGTGGAATTATCCTCCATATAGTCCCCGATCTAAGTCCTAACGATTTCTTTACTTTCCCTAAAATTAAAAACTAACTGCGTGGTCAAAGGTCCCAGTCACCAGAAGAAGCAGTTAACGCATTCAAAAATGCCGTTTTGGATCTGCCACTTTTATTTCCATATGCAAAACTTAAAAGACATCCCTCGTACCGATAGAACATGACCAAACATAATGTGTCAACCTGTCAAAGAGAGAGGATAAAAGATAAGCACTTACATGCTGACCATTCTTACTTGAGATTAAATGTCAGATTTACTCTTATTTCTTGTGAGTGACATTTAAGAATTATAATTTGTCAAGTACCTGCCCGAATTTTATTCTTATAAAATGAGTACGGATTAGCTCTGATTTTTAAAATAGAAGTTCTTAAAAAAGATGAACATGTAATATGGGATGCAAGAACATTAGTAACGTTGTAAATGGAAAGGAAAATCCAGGATTGAAACAGGAACCTAAAGGTTGAATAACTTTGTTCGTTGAAGTGCTGCCAGCCTATGCCCATTTACTACAATAAAATATTTAACGAATAAATAAATAGTATTGTTAATAATGATTACTGTATGTGTTATTATTTATTATTAAATAAACTATAAAGAAAACTATGTATGTATATTTGTGTTAGGAGCAGAAATATTTTTGAAAATAACTAGCCAGCATTCTTCCATGCGGATGAGTAAATTTACAATTCAAATACTTTTGTGGCAAACATTTTACATGATTTTCTTTAAGTTGAAACACACTGATGTGTGAAAATCTGTCAAAAGATGAGAACAAATTTTGAAACTCTTTGAAAAAATAGAATTGCACTTTTTCGTCCTCCCAAAATACAGAGTAACCGCACTAGAAATTTTATTTCTCTTTCAGGTAACGGAGCTAGAAGCAAAGATATTAGCGTTGGAAAGAGGCAGAAACAGAAGAAGGTACAAACGAGATAGGAGCAACGAAAGATGTTCACCGATAGACGACAAAGCTCTTCGACGTGCTAGGAGAAAAAGTCTGGACAGTGCTACGTCATCAGAACCCATGAAGCTGTTAATGCGCTTGAGCTCTTTGGAGACCAAAGTGACAAACGTAAACACTTCCAATGAGTCCCTGAACATTTTAAACGGCAGCACTTCGGACATCACCAAGCTGAAAGATGAAAAGAGCTCTGTGGATCTAGATTACTTACTATCTACTGCCAAAATTAAAGTCAGCGAATGCCTTTGTAGCGTAAGTTCGCTGAAGAATAACAGAAAACGCAATTCGTCACCAAGCGTGGATAAGTTGGTAGCTTTAGAGAACTCTTTAAATGAGCTTCAGGATATTCTGAACAGGAAAGACTGCGCCGTTAATATAGCTGAAGTCGAAGTGATCAACACGTCTGCTGGCAGTGTGGTCAAACAGTTGCAGAATCTGCTGCTTGATAAACTGACAAGTTTGGCGGAAAAGAAAAGACTGCTGCAGGAGAACAACAAGTGGGATAATACGGCCAGGTTACAGGTAAAAATATTTATTTGTCAATCAGTTTTGCTACGATAAACATATGAGATTGGTTGTAGAAAGTATGAAATCTAATAGGTTGTTCTAGAAGGCGAGTTCTATATTGGTTGCTTATTATTGTTTACTTCATTCATAATATCTACGTCATCTGCTCATTTCTAAGTTCAGGAAGAGTATGTTGGATAAATGGTACTTCTGAATTTTGCTGTCGACAGAGCGTGTGGATACCCAGTGGATGGTACAGCGAATCGTTAGTCTAACTGTGAACGTGTCATGCATGCAGTATGAGTAACAGTAAACGACAAATTCTGGCTTTTAAAGTTTCCGCTGCCTCTGTTATATAAGAAAGCGTGAGTTCGCATGAGTTTGGAGGCCTATTAAATTGGCCCTTATTAAAATAATTCTGATCAAAGCATGGAACTCAATTTATTGTAGGAAACGCTTCTCGTTAATGTATCTATAGCCGAAATCACGCAAGATAACGATTACGTCATCATTTGAGTCTGTAGTAAAGACAAACGACGGCGATTTTTAAATATGTTTAATGAAGTTTCAGATATGCTAGACAGAGACAAACAGAATTTTATTGTCTAAACAAAATGTATTGCTAATTTGCAGGTATCCGACAAAGATAGACGATGTTTTCATGTTGCATGATCGATCATATTTGAAAGACGAATAGTTAGGTTATGTGAAAGCAGGTTAGGTTGTTTTCGAATAATCTTTAATTCCTGTGTTCTACTCATAACTATTCTTTTTTTAAATCAAAAACTCCTCACTAAAATTATTATTAAGGTATCACTCAAAACCATGAAATAAAATGAAAATAAAAATAATCAGTGAAATAATCTAATTCGCAAAATAATAATATAAATTTGTTGTCATTATGTTACTGGCATCTTGATTTTATCATCGACGTACGTCCATTGATTACTTCAGTACAATTTATGGTATGACGTAATAGTCATCTTTCGTAATCATATTAGCAAATTTCTCCGAAATAATTGTAAAGTCTGGTTTTATTGATGCATGTTCAAGCAAAAACGTTATTTCCGAAAAACGAGGCAAAATGCAGGTTTTCGCACTTGTTGGTAATGCGACGATAATTTCAGGTAACTACTTGAAATTCTTCAAATCCGTAGGATTCATGCTTCTAGATAACAACAAAATTGGAATATATTGATTAAGTAGTTTTTGAGAATTTCTAAATGTTTATCCCAAAACACCTGTATTCCGGCGATCACAACTAGTTTATCGAGCAATATACAGGGTTCGTTCAAAAAGCATTTAATAGCAAAATACACGTGTTTACCTTGCCGATATGAATCACAAACCATTCCGAAAAATAAATGTTATTTTTATGCGAAAAACAAAGGTCACGTTTTTTTCTTCTAAACAAATTCAAACATTTCGTATTTGTAAGTAATTGAACAGATGCGCTACGATATTCGAAAAATATACGTTACTATACACATTTTAAAACAAAGCGGATGTGTCTATCATCTTTTGTTGCGAATTACTCACAAATACATGTTTGAATTTGTTTAGAAGAAAAAACCTAATCCATCCTTTTTTGTATAAAAATAACATTTATCTTCCGGAATGGTTTGCGATTCATATCGGCAAGGTAAACTAGTGTATTTTGCTATAAAATTATCTTTGAGCGAACCCTGTATATTGCTCAATAAACTAGTAGTGATGGCAGGAAAACAGGTGTTTCAGGGTTAACAATTAGAAATTCTCAAAAACTACTTGACCAATCTACTCCAATCCTACGAATTTGAAGAATTTCAAGTATCTGCGGCAAACCATTGTCTCATTACCAAGTGCGAAATTCTGCAGTTTGCCTTGGTTTTCGGCCGTAACTTTTTTGCTATTCGTCGGATCTTTTTACGTGTGATCTCATTTTGTAGGTCTCATAAATACCTAAAAATCTTATTTGAAGAGTTTTTTCATTCCTGTCAACAGTTTCGATTGAGTCCCAAAGAACACGTTTTATCATTCTTTGTTTTTGAGTAAAAAGTTTTCCCACAAAAATTGGTGTACCTATTTTATGCGTCCATATTTTAAATACCTCCTTGAGCAAGTTGCAGCAAGAAAACCAGACTTTACAATAATTATTTCCCAAACCAGGGGTATTTTCGTCTAATATGATTAGACTACCTAATATGAATATTGCCCTCCGAGAATATGCGATCTAACGCCTAGGAATTTTCTGTGAAGGTGATGCTTTCAGTAACTTTGATAATGCTGGAGAAGTGAAACTAGAAACTATAATGTTTTATTTATCGTTTAACAATGTGCTATACTGCCACCTTACCTGAGTATTATCCATAGATGCTGGCCGAAAAAGTCGCCTACGAAAACGTGTTAGTCAATAGGATCCAAGAAGCTTTAACTTGTCCCGTAACCGGCGACGCTGTCTGCAAGAGGCTGATCAACAAGGAGACGCGAGAGACAGCTTACCTGATCATAGCATTACAGAACAAAATCAACGGTACCAGCAATAAGCAGCAACCGCCAAACAGGACAAGTGTGGATCATCTGACAAAGACCCTAGCGAAGTGTCTGTTGTCTGCAAGTCAGGGCTTCAAGTCATTCAAGAATTTCGTCGCTACCAAAGGACCATCTATCGATTTGCTCTGTGACGAGAAACAAAAGTTGGATGTGCTGTTGAGCACATACAAATCGGCAAAGTTACCACAAATTGCGGAGGCACTTGCTGCTGAAACGATGAACCTTGCTTCTGATAAGACCTGCAGGTATGCATATATAGGATGTTCCTTCGATCTCATAGCTGTAAAACCTTTTTCTTCACCGTAAATCACTCTCATTTTTTCCAACAATCATAGAATCAAAAATGGATATTTTATCGCAAATCAAAAACTGTTGGTGCAGATTTTTTAACATTTTCGTTAATTGTAGTGGAAATTTCCTAACTAGCTATACGAGGTTTGTCCGCAAAATACGTATAAAAACTTCGTTCCGTAGTGTCAAGGCATTCTGGATGGGTAGCCCGGTGGTTCTCTTTCTCTATGCAATCCCCTCCATGCTCAGTTCGAACCGGGACGCTCTGCGATTAAGTAAGATTTACGTGTGCTTGCTGAAAGTAACCCTTTTTTACCTGCCGTCGGCATGAAACTCTCTCTGATTGAGGAACAGCGCGTCAACATCAAGTTTCTTGCAAAGATCTAATGTGAAAACAATGATTGGTTTCTTTGATTTTCGGGGCATTGTTTACCAGGAATTTGTCCCTCCCGGCCAGACAGTGACCGGAAGTTTCTACATTGATGTTTTGCGTCATCTCATAGCTCGTGTGATTTGGCACAAGCGGGCAGGTGGATCCTTCATCACGATAACGCGCCTGCTCACACGTCTCTCGTTGTGCGTGAGTTTTTGGCCCGAAGCCCAATCACCCTGACAGAACACCCGCCTTATTCACCCGATTTAGCCGCTTGCGACTTCTTCCTGTTCCCAGAATGCATAATGGTGTTTCGTGGGCGGCACTTGGGGGATGTGGATGCCGTCAAGGCAGAAATGACACGGCAAATGAAGAGCCTCACAATTGAAGACTTTCAGCGATCGTATCAACAGTGGAAACGGCGTTGGTAGAAGTGCATCTTGTCTCAGGGGGAGTACTTTGAAGGAGACTATATTGAAATACCTGACAATTGTAAAATAAAGTTAATATTCCATTTTTTACGTATTTTCCGGACAAACCTCGAATTATATTAACCGATGAAATCAGTAATGTGCAGGCTAAACGATACATGTGATATGGCCTTAAGTAAAGTTCCGTTCTAATACCTTTCAAATGTCGCTGATTACCCCAGTTGTAGACCAACTGTTTGACTGGCAGAGCCAAAAAAATTGTCGCGGGAAGCACATTTCACCGTCCCATCTCTCCACTTTGTACAAATCCCAGAAAATGGTGTAGGTAGTGATACTTGATCTAGAAAAAGTTCAGCGTTTTCAAAACTCAAAGCAAATATAAGGTTGAAGATGTCACTTTGTACGTTTTTGAGAACGTGATTACCTATACTGACCTTTAATACTACGCTCAAGTTGCGACCAGTTGCGTGAGGCAGGATGAACATGCTTCACTTGGCTGTTACTGCGACAGCTAATGTCACCTGCGTCCTAACTTTGGCTGGGTTTGAAACTTATTTCATATTATTCTAAAAATGTTTTTTCATACTTGAGCCACCACGCAGCCCTAAGGCCTAAATACCGGTGGGTACCGTGGGGTTATATATATATATATATATATATATATATACCAAGTGACATATAAATCCGAACACCCAGTTTAAATGGTTGTATTTTAATAAAAGTTGGTGAATGTATTTATCTTACTGTAAATAACAAGTGAAAAAATGTTCAGCCTTATCAGCTGGACATTCCGGTTTTTATACTGCTTTTTGTCAGGCATGGCTTCGAGAAGGCCGTACGCAAAGAGCAAGGGGCACTGGACGCCGCCGTAGAACAACAGACCGTGAAGATCGCCGCCTAAGAATATTGGCCTTAAGGGACCGATTCTCCACTACCAAGTCCATTGCAAATGAATGGTTTGCAGAACACGGAAGACCTATTGGCATGCGAAGTGTTTACCGACGAATGAGAAGTTTTGGCTTGTTTTCATACCGGCCACACTGGGTCCTCCCTTTAACTCGAGAACACCGACGTAATCGCCTTGAGTGGTGCAGAAAACGATCAATCTGGGATCAGGAATGGAACAGTATTGTCTTTAGTGACGAGTCTCGATTTTGTTTAGGCATGCACGATGGCCGTGTCAGGGTTAGAAGGCGACGTGGTGAAAGGAGGAATCCACAGTTTTTTGTTGAAAGACATGTTCATCACACTGTTGGAGTTATGGTTTGGGGTGTTATAGCTTATGGTTCCAGGTCACCTTTAATCTTCATCAGAGGTAACATGAACGCGCAGCGTTATATCCACGAAGTTCTAGAACCCCATCTTCTACACTATCTTGACACCCTGGCAGATCCAACTTTCCAACAAGATAATGCCCGACCACATGTTGCAAGAGTCACAATAGACTTCTTTCAACATAATGATGTCACATTGTTACCATGGCCACCAAGATCTCCCGACTTATCCCCAATTGAGCACGTGTGGGATATGATGGGTAGGAGATTGCTCAATTTGCAACGTCCTCCTCAGACTCTAGAAGCACTTCGAGAGGAGTTGGTGGTTGCCTGGAATGAGATACCACAGGAGGACATTGACCACCTGATCAGAAGCATGCATGCCTAGGCGCGTTGGAGAATGCGTAGCACATCAGGGTGCATCCACACATTATTAAAGGTCAAAGGGCTTTAAAGCATTTTGAATTTTTTATCATTTACTTGTTATGCTTCATTATTACTTATACAAAATTTTATTAAAATAAAACCATTTTAACTGGGTGTTCGGATTTATATGTCACTTAGTATATATATTGAACTTTTTGCGAAAACATGTTTTATACACGAGTGGAGTAGTTTTTTTCCAGAGCTAACTTCAAAAACAAACGAATATCAATAAAACTGTGATTTTTGAAAATAAAAATAGTTTTGTAGACTGCATTTTACTGTAGTACAAAAAATACATTTTTGGAAATGGTTGAATGAAGAGAACGTTGCGGGAATAAATTACGTTTTACATACAGTCTACCAAAATAAGCTGTTTCGATTTTTTTTTAATTAACTGAAAAAAGCTAATTCTACCGATTTCTAATAGCTTACCCAACAATTAAAAATCTTTAACAAATAGCTCAACTTTGTAAGTTTTATGTAAAAGTCCCCTAATTTTTTTTGCTCCATTGCTGATATTACACTAGACAACTTTCGTATGAAACGTTCTTTCGTACGTAATCGGCTCAATTTAAAAAATAAGAGCGAAAAACAGTTTTCGGCCACCTTTGGGCACCGTTTTTAGAGAAGCCGTCTGAAATAAATTGTCGCATTTTAGTGTATTTGTACCATCGCATTTTTATCTTATTTTTGCATATAATCGCTTCCATCCTTCATTCTTAACTAGGTTGCCCTTGTTCATATGTCATAAAAAGGGTGGTACACTCTATTAAAAAATTAGCCTCCCCCTTCTAATGTTAATGTCATAACTTCATTATAGCATTAGTAGAGCTCTGGTCTTTGTCGTCGGGGCTGCATTACTTTGCTTTGTTAGTGCATAGCTTTGCAACTTTCTGTACAGTTCTCACGGTGAGTTGTTAAACCTGCTGAACAAAATTTGGGTGCGGTAATTGTAAGATACAAGAAACCCCAAGCAAATCGAATGTAACCGATCATTGTTTTCCAGGCTGAGATCTCTGAAAGAAGACCTGGTGAATGAGTTCAAGAAGAACGCGCGTGAGATCGTGAACTCCGAGCTGATACAGTCCGAGATCAACCACGTTTTGTTGCGTGCCGCCCAGGTGTACCAATCCAACATCGATGCCGACCACAACTTCTTCTTCAGCTTTTTCGCTTCGGAACGTGCCGCTCTGGAGCTTTGGTCGGACGCCGTGGGCGACTGCCTTTACGATGAGATCAGCAGGGCCATCATGGAGCTGACCGAGCTGTACCAGAACTGCCTGAACAAGCTGCAGAAGCAGAACTGGAGGCGCAGGGTGGAGCTGGAGAGGAACATCAGGTAATGGAATGTGGATTGGCTGTAGCTCCTCCTCGAATTTGCTCGCTTAGTGGGGGAAGGGAATCGAAGAGAACGGAAGCGAAATCCTTTCATTGGGTTCTGTTACTCATAATTCAATGTCGCTTGAGCGAAACGGAAGGAAGCGAAGTAACACATTTGACCCTTGCAAATGACAAATATGTCGCCGCGGTTCCCTTTGCGTCACTTCTCCTCAATGTACGTGTACGTTAAGACTAAAACCCGACCGCGTATGCTTATTGGATTGCCACAAATAATGGTCACATAATCTTCACCGGATTTTTTTGCCACGATAAAACCAAAGAGGCACATCCTCTAGTTTGATTTGACCACTACGTTTAGTCGTAAACGCTACTCGGACTTGTCCTACAGAAGTTGAGATACGTAAATTAAGAAATACTTATTAACACCATTCATTGTGGTTAACACCAATTAACACTATTCTGTATGCAAATCCATATTTATTAAAACGAAATTTGTAACAACATACAGATTTCGTGAAACAAATACATATATTTAAGCGATCATATGAGTTTAATCCAAACCCGTTGAAAAACCTGGAACGATCATTCGCTGCCGCATTTAGGAAAAAATGTACTAACACTGTTCGTTATCGTAACAGGATGATCCTGTATTTCATGCCAACCAGCATTGGGATTGTTCTGAAACGATTTTTTATGAATTCTGTGCATGTGTATGCAAGCGCATCAATTGATAATATAATCGAACAGTTCTGGCATGATATCAGAACACAAATTTGGAATGGAACTTTTAATTTGCAATCTTCAGAAATTAACAGTCACTTAATTATGCATCAAACTAAATTGGACCATTGCTAATGATCTGTAATGCTCATAAATTTTGTTGAAACCTATATTTTATTTGCTAATACTACTTCGTTTGAATTAATATATTCAACATAAACTAAACTTGATATGGTATTTAGTTTATAAATTTTTTTATCTTAACCCTTAAGTATCATGGCGGGGTCAAATTTGACCCTCCACGTTTTATATGCCAATTTTTGCTACCAAAATATTTATGGCGCGCTGCGCGCGTTCTGCTAATCTTCGACCGGTAGGTGATTTATCGATGCACAAAAATTCCATTAATTTATCTGCTACCACTGCAGTTGGGCACATGTAGGATCAAATTTGACCCGTTTATGGTATAAGTGTCTCTAGTGCGAATAGCGAGTAATTTGAAATTGCGGGGTGTAGTGGCAATACTCGCGTTCTGACACAGTAAGAATTTGAAGCGGAGGCGCCAAAAATTATTTCTAACCACTTTAGGTCAAGAACTTATTAAGGACCATTTGACTAGTTGAGCTCGGCATGTTTAGCGAGAGAACTTCGTAGTGTCATTTTTAAAGTTTCCGGACTTCAGGAACCAGTGGAGGGGAAGGTGTAAAATATGCCATATTCTAAAAATCAAAAGGAAGAAAGCTCATCGTGCGATAAATGTCATGAATTTATTTGCAAAAATCAAGCCCGCACGAAGATGTTATGCATAAGTTGTGATGAAAATTAAGGTCAAAAACATGCTTGTCATTTTTTAGATACGAAATCTAAATCATTTTTTTTTTATTTTAGGTAGCAGCTAAGATACCTAAAATTCACCACTGAATACAAGAAAACTGAAAATTTTTATAGGTTTTCTAATAATTTTAGAAAGTGCACATCGTTGTTAATTTCACTGGATACCGAAGTTTTTTTTTAATAAAGTTATAACGTTTTATTTTGTAAAATTGTAAAACTAGTTGAAAATAAAAAAACTTAACATAAAAACAAGGTATAAAATTAGATTTTTGTATGTAAAAAAAACAATTGGTTCAAATTTGACCCTGCCATGGTATAAATGTTACTGTTTTTGGCCATGGTAGTTAAAGGTTAAAAAATGGCGAAATTATTCCTCACTAAACCACTGTCGCTGGATGAGCAGTGCTACTAAATCAGTTTAAACATTATCGCGACATTTTCACGTTATCATTTGTCCAAAACGCGTATTTAAAGTTACCAATGCACGAAAGTAAAACATAGGGTGGCACTGGATTGCTTGTATTTATATAGCAAAAATATCTAGTTGTGATCTCGATATCTATATATGCTGCATTGGACAGTAACATGAACAGTTCCCATATACGGACATAAACTCTTAATTGCCCCTTTCCCAAGATCAAGATACAAAAGAAAATTTTCCAAATAATGTTTTAGTGATACTTCGCCAATAATACACTGTATATAAATTTGAATATCAAATTTCCTTGTTATTGTTGATGTAGGACGAATCATAATTCAAGGAGATTTCATTGAATGGAGTAACCATAACACCCAAAAGATGTCATTGTCACTTTATCTGCTTTACAGTGCTGCGTTCGTAAATTGTTAGAGTGTACTACACTCTATTTTGGCTTTCGTAATTGTTTGACGTACCTGTGCCATGCGTTCAAAAACAGAACAAAGTAACCCTTCTGGAACGTCAAAAGTGCGCTTTTCTTCCCGTACTAAAAACCTTGGGTACAAGAGTCTTGTCACTTGTCATTCTTATGGTTCATTATTCGTGTACCTCATTTGGTTATCAACAAGTGTCTAAAAATGCCAGAATATATATTTTTCACGGTAGTCTACCTCATATCCATAGGGTTTCTTATAATAAATGCAATGGTCGCAGAAAACGTGGTTAGAAATCAGTCATGTCATCAGGTGTCATTACATACATGACTCGATAATAATTTTGGCATTCTAAAAATAAAGTTTCACAGTATTCCAGAGTAAAATGTCATCTGTCACTTGGTAATGTAACACACAGTAATGGAATGTAGATTCGCAGATGAATTTTTACTCTGGATTACTGTGAAATTTCATTTTTAGAAATCATAAATTATTTCAGAGAGATGTAATGACAGTTGATAACGTCTGACTAATTTCTAACCACGTTTTCTGCGACCACTGTATTGATTATAAGAGAAGCTATGGATAGGAGGTAGCCACGCATAACATTTGTCCCGAAAAATATATATGTTCTGCTTATTTTTAGCACTTTTTGATATCCAAATAAGATAAACAAACAATGAACCAAGATAATGACAAGCGAAAACACTCTTATTCGTATTACAGAGTAGTACAGAGTACACCCTTAAAGAATTTACGAACGCAGCCCTGATGTAATTTTTTCCTGATTCTATCGTTTCATAAGTTTCGTATTGATAATTCGCAGAGCTCCAACGACATTGCTGTACGAGTTCGCCGACGTGGTAGCCCACAAAGCGCTGATTGATGCGAGAATCGCTGTTCTCAGTGGCAGCTATAATCCGCAAGAGATGTACAGCGGATCTCTGGAGACGCTGAGCACCTGGCTGGATAACGAGAAACAGTGGGCCTATATGGAGACCCAGTCTTTGCTGCAGACGAATCGAGACCTGGAGGTGGAGTTTACCTGCATGGTGAGTTCAGGGCTGTTTCTGATTTCTATTCATCTGAATGTTTTAGATTGTGATCCATCACAATCACGTGTACGTTCTACAGCCAAATAATTAACAAAGTTATCTAAATAATGTTACAGTCAACATCTAAGATTACAGTCCAACAGACCCAGAAAATGAGTTATCTTTCCAACAGGTTAGCAAGTCTAGGTCACTTTTATGGGAAAGTAGCGATCTTGCAACGAAAACTGAAGAGTTGACTTAACTGCGTTTACTAGCTCTTCGTGAAACAGTTTACCATAAAACGTTTTGATCAATGCGTATCTAAAGCGATTCACTTCATTAAGAACAATTTACCTGATGAGCGAATCAATTTACTTTCGTTTTGCCTGACGGGGCATACCGTTCAAGACAGATCAAGTGGTCGTTTCAGTAGCGCTACGTATTGATAAATGGGACTAATGTCTAAATAGTTCTCAATCATGTGCATTTATGTTTACCTTCGATCTCCTCAACCATTCATTTATGTCTTGTTGTAACTTTATACATTGATACTGTGAGATGCTTGAGCTAACAGGACTGATCAATTCGATTCACTTGTATAGATTCGATAAAACCATAATGGATCTTCTAGATACCCAAATGGCGAGAAACAGGATAATGATATATTGGTGTGACGTTTTCAGACTTTAATTCATTTAAATGTACGAAATGATGCAGTCTAGTGTTGTCTGCATTTGATGCTCCCATAATTAACGAAGGCACCTCGAAACAGCTGTACTAGGTGTTCTGTAAGTTAGAACTTTTCTTTTCGGGAATAATTACGCTGCACTGACATGGTTGATGTACGGTGAAACAGCAAAGAAAAAGAGAAAATAATTTCCGTCATCTAATCGATATCAGGGCCGAAATGGGCTCATGTAAATTCTTTTTCAGCCTAATGTCTCGGTTGACTAAATTCTGTGGCGTATGTGTTATAAAGAAAAGTCACCTGTTTTCACAAGAACCAAACGCCAGATAAATAAAAGTCCTAACTTTAAGAACATATCTAATGTCAGCTGAAAAAATATAATATCCAACATTCTTCATAGGTGGAGAAATACAGGAGTGAGTGCCATGCGCTGCTGGAGCCTAGAGAATCAGTCGGTGGGTGTCTGCGCGAGTTGTCAGAGAAGGTGGAAGAGTTACAGAGGTGTGCAGACTTACCAGTTCGTGGTATTGGCGAGAACTGGAAAGACGTATGCCAGGCCTGTGCTACACTCAGGGATCGTCTTGAGGAAGTTAAAGTAGCTATGCAGCAACAGCAGAACAACACTCAACAGCTTAGAAGGTAAAATGGAATAAATTTTTATTGAAAAAAATAATAGGAAAATAAACAACCTCTACACCTGGACTATTGCGAGAAACTGTGTCAAATCTACTATAATCAAAATTTAGACATTTTTTTGCCTACTAAGCAAGGTTAAACTTTGCTTCCAAATAAAGTAAGTCTAAAATACTCTTCGAGGTCCTGTATTAGAAGGTGTGGGCAACCTCAAAATAATTTGTAAGCGACCTTTTATATTCAGAAACCAGTTTATTAAACACCCGCTATGTTTACGAGTATTAAACCGGTTTGGAGAGTGGTAAAACTCTGTTGTAGTGAGCGATTTTTAAGCCTCTTGGTAAGCTAATAATTGGCGAACTTTTGATTTTTACAGTTTGTAATGGGTGATTTTTTTGCTAGAATCTTTTTGGAAACACTGTTTTTGACAGATGACGCGTGAATCGTGTCTTGTGTCATTGTCAAACTTGTTCAGTTTGGTCTATAATTTAACATGAATCGACTTACGAACGAACAACGCTTGCAAATTATTGAATTTTACTATCAAAATTCATGCTCGGTTAAGAGAGTGCATCGAGCACTGCTTCCAATTTACGGGCAATTTGGTCGGCCTACTGAGGGAGCTATTCGGAAGCTTGTGACTAAATTTCGAACCCAGTTTACATTATCGGACATTAAACCACCAACACGCAGACGTAGAGTGAGGACTGAAGAAAATATTGCGGCTGAATCCGCCAGTGTTAGTGATGACCGTGAAATGTCGATTCGCCGCCGTTCGCAGCAATTGGGCCTCTGTTACTCCACTATGTGGAAAATTTTGCATTACAGGATTTGGGTGTAAAACCTTATAAGATACAGCTGGTGCGAGAATTGAAGCCACACGACCTCCCACAATGTTTCACATTTGGTGAATGGGCGCTGGCAAAGTTGGAGGAAGATCCGCATTTTTATCGAAAAGTTGTGTTCAGCGACGAAGCTGATTTCTGGTTGAATGGGTACGTTAACAAGCAAAATTGCCGCATCTGGAGTGAAGACCAGCCAGAAGCATTGCAAGAGCTACCAATGCATCCCAAAAAAATCACTGTTTGGTGTGGATTGTGGGCCGGTGGCATCATCGGGCCGTACTTCTTCAAAGACGACAATGGCCGGAACGTAACTGTGAATGGCGAGCGCTGCCGTGCGATGATAACAAACTTTTTTTTGCCCAAAATGGAAGAGCTGGACTTGGCTGACATGTGGTTTCAACAAGACGGTGCCACATGCCACACCGCACACGAAACAATGGCCCTATTGAGAGGCGAGTTCGGTGAACAGTTTATCTCACGTTTGGGGCCCGTCAATTGGCCGCCTAGATCGTGTGATTTAACGCCGTTGGACTATTTCTTGTGGGGCCATGTTAAGGGGATAAACCAGCAACGATTGTCGCCAATATTGAAGCATTTATTCGTGAGATACCGGCCGATATGTTGGAGAGAGTGTGCCAAAATTTGACCTTGCGCAAGGGCCATCTAAAGCGGAGCCGCGGCCAACATTTACATGAAATAATCTTTAAACATTAAATTATATCGACCGTTCTATCGACTCAAATAAGGATTTAATCGTTTTTTCAAATTTTTTGTTTTTTTTGAAAATCAAATCCTATACCTCTTAAAAAATCACCCGTCACATTAGTGAATCACGATACATAATAAACCCGCTCTTATGTGAGACCAACCAAGAATCTTTAGTGGTTTTGAGTGATGAAAGACTACATTAATCAAGCTGCTGGTTAATCTTCTCTTAAAAAGCATCCGTGATGAGTTCTTAATTACACATGATAATTTTGTTACTATTTATAAGATATATAAAAATACCGTTTCAATCAAAACTTAATATGACTGTCGTGCCAAACTCAGTTCGTACGGAATTATTTGTGCGGGAAGGATTTGTTTCGGGTCTTGTAATATACCTATAATAAACCAGCTCGATGAGATGTGTCATCGTTAATATTCCACTTACGTGCGTGATATAGACGACACAACATCCATAGCAAGGAATTAACATCCGACGCGAAGATTTGAAACCGCGAGCCCCACCGAGTTACTGAGGCTCCTCTGTTTTGGGTCTCAAACAAGATGCATATTCGATCTGTCTAGTGTTACATCTTTAAAAATTGCAAAATTTTGGTTGTAATGCTATGAGGAATTTTGTTTGTTACATAAGAAATGGTACAAATTTCAATGATGGCCGAATTAAAAATGACTCAAGTATCTATTGAAATGACCATTACCTTTGCTGTTTTTGCAGGTATTCTCCGATACCTGTGGACCTCGATCGTTTGGACGATGACCTGCAGTTGCACCAGAGTACCGCCGAATACTTATCAGAAGTGGAACAGCTACGCAGTGCATGGCGTCGTGCTCTTGTCGCCTCCCCGGACGGCGGATTGTGCGAATCGGAGGCGGAGCGCCTGCGACAGCTGTGTGAACGAGCCTTAGCAGCTACAGAACGCTGGCACAGGGGGGCGCTGCAAGCGGCGAGACGCGCCCACCAGAGACAGGTGGACGCACTCAAGCAGGAGAAGGAACAGGCGCTGGCCGAGGAGACACGCGCTACGCTCGCCGCGTTGGACGCTATGCGGAAGGCGCATGTCGCCGAGGTGCAACGAGAGGTCAGCATCCAAACTTAATTTTTTAGACAGAAGTCAGAGTTCGAAAGTGTATTCTTTAATCCATCCGATGACATCGACTACTTCCATTCGAGGTGGTCATTACGCGAAGTAAATTTTAGCAGGCTGTATTCTGTAATCGACCCGATGACACCTACTACTCCCATTAGAGGTTTTTGTCAAATGAAGTTAGGAAATTATTATTACCAAATAATCCGGCGAAATTAACATCGTAAAATAATTTGACAATCGCATCACACTTTAGTCAATGAAGTTGAGCTGATTAACGGATATATCCCGCTGAATCCGGAGTAGTCGTGTCGTCGAGGGATTAACCGAAATACTCCGGTGAAGCTGAATTTGCAAGTTCCTTCGCTAAACGCCTCAAACAGGATTAGCCAATTTTGGCGGGGGGTTAACTGAAATAGTCCAGTGAAATTAAGTTCGCACGGTCATTCTCCAAATACCTTCTTCTATTGGGAATAGTCCGGTAAAATTAATTTCACATTAGCATTTGGCTAAAGAACTGGTTATTTGAACTCGGCGGTTGGATCAAAAAATCTAGTTCAATTATTTGCAGGTTGCTAAGTTTAAGCAAGAGTATGCAAGACAACAAAGAGACGACATTTTTGATTTATCTGAGAAACTGTCTGTGAAGTCGTTGGAAGCTGCAGCCCTTGAAGAACAATTAGGTAGCGCCACTAGACAGTTAGCCCATGCCCAGCAGCATATTTTGAAGCTTGAACGGAACCCCCAGCTCTCATCAGTGAAGGTAACTTCATACATTTATCATTTGTGAAGGTGACCATATTTTACGCATTCGGTCAGGATTTCTCAAGATAAGCTAGTATTTTGATAAGTTGAAATGGGTACAGATTTTAAATCACCTTGCCATCAACTCTAAAAATCGTTTTCCACTCAACTGTCGCCAAACGGTGGTGCAGTTTTTGACTAGTAGATCGCTAGGGAATTATAGCTATTTCGCAATGCCTTACCTATTTTGCTCGACAAACGCATGAGTTGTCACGAATGATGCAAGGCATTAATCCCGAGCATTATAGCATTGCCACATCAATAACTATGGATTAGTTAACCACCTTGAAAGTGGTATTCACATTGAAATTGTCAGTTAATTTCTAGGGCAAAACTTACACAATCTGAAAGCTAACTTTTAGCCAAAAATCTGGATCATAGCTAATCTAATTTCCAGTATTTTCTTCTCGAGGTCCAAAATATAAAAATATTGCAAAAAGTAGTTCCGAAATTACGGTAATAGTACTAAAAATTCTTGATCAATATATTTTTTTCAGAATTCTAATCTCTGAAATAATGTCTGAATAAACTGTATTTGTTCTTTTGCAGAACTGAAGGTGTGTATCTGTTACGAAGCAAGAAAATTTACTAGTCCTAACAAGCCTCATACCAGTGTATAAATTCTTTTAAGTACAATATTATCACAGTTGTGTACAGATGTTCGCACTTATTTTCCCCATGTTTTAATGTATAATATTTGTTTGTGGCCTGAAATATTACTTTATTTATTTACCTCACTTACTGTATCCAATAATACCTTGTACAAATAATATTACTTTTTTGCAACAGTTAACTGTTTATTGTTTATGTGTTGGGTTTATTTGGAATGTTTATAATAAAACGAATTTACGTGTTTCAATTAGCTTTTATTTATATTCGATCTCATCAACACTTATACCCTCTCGAGACTCACCCGCGCATCGCGCGCGAAGCCGCGAACTACCCGTGACGCATGGAGTGTGGATCGCATTCGCGTATTCTTTGCGGCTTCACGTCGCGTTCGCGCGTTGTTCCCGTTTGTTGTCGGTTTTTTGTCCCGCGACAAAGGATTCGCAAGGCGCGAACATGACTACGCTCCTCATTCTCTGGTGGCTCAGTTGCCTCATAGCGAGTGCCGGGAGTGGTTGTTTTTTCCACTTATTTTCAATTGTTTTAGTTTTACTTATATATGCGTGATTATAAATTGCCAAAGCGCAAAGTAGCCCTGCAGCAGCAGTAGCAATTTCACCGTCCAGCCTCGTCAAGAGCGCGAACTATACTGTGATACTATGAAGCATGTGAACATCTGCGACTATGGAACTGTAGGAACAGTTTTCGGGATTCGCACCGCGATCCGCGCCGCGAATTCACGCCGTGATCCGCGCATGAGTCTGGAGAGGGTATAAGATATATTCCGCACAAGCATGGCGCGTAACATGTTGCCCGACGGGAACGCATGCCACATTTATGCCACAACATCTTCCAGATTGTTGACTATATATTTTTTATACCGAAGCCGCCGCTCAGACAAAAGCCTATCTAATGCCTATACCAGGGCACCGCGACTGCTATGAGCGGCTTGAAGAAACTTTTTCAATCCGATTTTTGAACTGCCCAAGGTTAGCAGTCATGGGAAAGCTTCCTCCAAATTGTTCCACAATCTCCTGATTGATCCTAGTGACAACGGAGCTGTCGTGTATCAGCCAGTTCTGGATGTACTAGGCTAGGATGGGAGGCCGCAGTCAGGCGGATCTGTCTAGCAGGCACATCGGCATCATGGATGAGAGCTCTGAGAAGCAAAGCCCGTTGACATAGCGGTAGATGAGAGCTAGATCCCTGACGACCCGTCGGTGCGAAAGGGCCTCCCGAGACTGCCCGTTAGAGAAGAGCCATTGATCAGTGGGACAACCGTCCTCTGATCAGCATCGGGCATGGATAATGTAGTCGGGACGGTAGCACCTCAAGCATGTGAGCAATACCAGTGGCAGAAACCGGATCAGTGCAACGACGCTTCTTGTTATTCAAAGCGCAGTTCTACGTTTTGTAAACATCATTCTGTACCAGAATGTTGTTTCCCCAAGCAGTGATAACCGCCACAGGGGAAGACGCTGATAGTCTTATTTTCTTTAGCTCACAGACACATATCAATAAATCTGGAACATGATGCCTAATATTTTGGAGCAGACATTTGTGGTATATAAAGATATTATGGATGAATATATTTTTTATTTGGCTACTCTCCAATAGATGGCGCTGCGCATCGGTAGCCACCATAAAGTCCATCGTTTTGAATGACTACGTTGGGCTGCTGGAATCGTTCAATAACCTCCAATGCGTGGAAGGAGGAGGACGCTTTTCTTTTCAACAAAGCCAAATCAATACGCAATATTAGATAAACTAATCCATACAATGGGGGGATTTTTAACCCCCCTCACGGAAATTTCAGTTTCTTGATCTTTGAGGATGCGTTGCCATAAACCCATCCCGATCCCCGACCAACCGCCCCTAAAGGATCTTTTTCACTATTTGGATGAGACCATTTTTGATAAATATCAAATTTTTCTAGATTTTGTTTTTTTTATATATTCGGTATATATATTTGTCTGTTTTTTTATGCAAAGTGCTTCTTACGCATATAACATATAACATGGTTTATTATTTTTTTATTTTCTCGTGTTGTGGAAAGCGTTAATCCGCGTAATTGATTAAAAGATTATTTATCAGATTGTTTTATTCTGAAAGGAGCTGTGACAATAAATTTATAATTAACCAATATTTTCAGTGAACTGAAGCTGTAGCACCTTTCCGTTAAAGAATTTTTCAGCTTTCTTATATATGATTTGACTTAGATGTTTCACAATATATGTACGATACTTAGATAAAGCCAAGAGTAAATTAAAACTATCTTTTGGATTGAGTAGAATTAGCAGTGTTATCAGCCTTAGCATGGATACCCTATTAATGAAGCGTTTCTAACAAAAAAATTATCGCAAGTCGTACGAGCCAAAGGCAAGGTTCTCTATTGTTATTGTTTAAAATAACAAAAAGACCTGAAACGTCATTATAATGCTGAAAAACCTTCTAGATACATTAAAATTAACTTTGAATGTAAAAAAACTAATTACATTGCCTTCTCCATAACAATGGCTAATAGACCAGCATTTAATCAAATCACGCCTGATAAGAAAGAAGTAAATGAAATTAAATATTTGGGGGTTGTTCAGCACTTGAAGTGGGGCCAGCATATGCTGTACTTGAGAAAAAAAAAATATATTTTTCATCCGTAAATTCTACACTCTTCGTAATATACTGAAGCTCAAACTAATATTGAAGATTTACAAAGCACTTGTGGTGCCACTTTTGGTATAGGGCATAATTGTGTGGGGTGGGATGAACGGTTCAAATCTTGGGCAGCTAAAAGTGGTGCAGAACCATAATGTAAGGATTATTCTAAAAAAAAACTAGATTATATCCCACTATGCAGCTAGATTCTCTAGAAATAAACAGTATTAAAATCTTATAAATATATCCTTGCAGTATGTAGTTTTGTACATGCAAATAAGAAATTAAATACAAATTATGTGTCCCTTAATTATATATTGCACCTAAATTTTACTATTTGATTCCTGTTAATATCAAGAATATTGAAAATTTTTAAAATTCAATGTTTAATTTAAAATGATCTATCGGAAAAATCACGAACAATTTATGCGTTTATGTAAAATTGCTTTGAATGCTCGGAATGTCTGTTTGTTTACTTTTTGTGATAAGTTTTTCCTGATGTTCTAATGTTTACCAAGAGAGATTGGCTGGTGGAAAAACGCCTGAATAAATTCCAACCAATGGCGACGCACAACGAATAGCGGTACCGGCGTACTACACGCTGCGAGCTAACGCGCGTCACTGCGTCACTTCAGTTGTCGATTGGCGTTTGGGGAGCGTGGTACGCCGAGCCCTCCGTGAAACGCTCTGCTTCTGTTCCACTCGTTGTGTGCCGGGAAGTCTTTGTCGGCGATTTTCCGCGGTGTCGTCGTGTCGAGATGGTGATGTAAGTGATTTTGTGGAAATTGTGTGTGAAAATGTGTTGTGGTTGTTCATGAAAGGCGAGTGGAGTATTTTCACGTTGGATATTGAGCATTCTTCTGATCATCCTGAGCTGACTGTCTTCATAGCGAACTAGGTGAGTTAACCATAGTCATCTATCTACTTCTGTGTTAGCTTTGACCTCGTAATGTCAAGATTGACTTATTTTGTTGTTGTCAAAAGTCATTAGCGATTTTTCTCTAAAGCTAAACGTTTTGATGTTAGAAACGATTGAAGTTCTGAGAAACCTTAAAAATGTCGATCTCAATGCTTTAAAACGCGGGTTGAAATGATCGTCTAGTTGCCACGCGTCTAAGTTAATATTTCGCACATTTTCCTTCAAGACTCCGAGGGGTATTTTAAGATTAGTATATCTTAAAGTATTATTACTTAATTGTTAGCAACGCGAGGCGCTAAGGCGTACTCCACTGTGCGTTATTATTAACAATGATTTCAAGATAAGTAAAAAATACGCCAAGTAGAAGAAGGTTTGAAGTTTGTGTAGAATGAGATAACATTTTTAGGGTTTTGAAGATATTTAATCGCTTATAACTCTTATAGAGGGAAACTATTTGCATTCACAATGATCAAAAAAATCTAAAAACACATTGTAGATGCTTTTTCTTGCGTAGTTTGTAATTATTTACACTTTGCAGCGAGTTACCTCCCGGCAAACTCATGATTCATTCAAAAATCTAGATGGAAAGTTTATCATACGAACTTTTTCGCCTCGTCTATAGTAAATGTAAATTCATAATAAGTAGCACACTATCATGTACAAAAGCTTGCAAGAAAGTGAGATTAATGCACGTAAATACCAATTGTATTACGTGTGCTATCTCTCGTATAAAAAGTTGTTTACGATTTTTTGTAAGAAATAAATACCTGTATACAATCGATATTATAGACGAAGAGCTGGCTAGATAGGGCAACGGGTCACTCGGTAAAGTCTAAATTTTGTCAGTTACAGGATCGGCTGTTACCGACATAGCAAGGGGCAGGCCGTCAGAAGTCAGCCTGGAAGTAATAAGTGAGGGTAGGGGGTTAAATCGTTTTTGTTTCGAAAGTACAAGGTGAATAAGAATTTTGAAAACGTAACGTGTCTCAAGTGTAGGCCGAAAAATACTTCAATCGTATTATATAGGGTGTCCCAGAAATAACACGCCAGAGTGACATGGGAGCAAGATTGGCTTCAGATCAATCAGATAAAATCAACATGATGTAAACGTTTTCTATTTTTGGAGATATTGGCACTTTGAAGTATTTCTTATAACACGTGTGTAGCACTAAATATAAGGAGCTGTACTAAATTAATCCTGCGCATGCGGTGCGCAGCGACCACCTCTGTTTTTCGTGGTGACATAATG